TTTTTTTTATGTCAGTGTCAGTACATCTGGACTTTCCCCTCATCCCATCACATTATAAATCTTTCCATTTCATTGTTTATGAACACAAAGTTTTCCATTTGCTTTCCATTCTCTGGTTTCCGCGGTGGCTCCTCTTGCTGTTTACACAAATATGACCAAGTATGCATGAAATTATTCAAGTAACTTTGGGCTTATTGTGTACTCAAGTACCACAGCCACACTTTGTCTCCTGGGTCCTTTGTGTAATAATGAATGTGATCCAGGATCAGTTGCAGCAAGTAGTTACAGTAAATCCTGTAGTGACACATTTTTTATGATGATTCACTTCCTCATGCAGGAAACAGCTTCCGCTAGTTTATCTATTATATTTTTAGCCTCTAAGTTGGAGTTAGTTCTATAAATAATGAAAAGACAACAATTTATAATGCCTTTATCTTGCCCTATAAATAAATCTTCAATTAGGGTCATTCGCCATCGCCAGCTCACGCTCACAGGGGATCGTTGGCTTTTTCTGTGTAATGTCGGGTGGTCTTTGCATTACAATGTGCCGCCGTGAAAGGGCCCCACATGTCTTTGTCAGATATGTAAAATGGAATAGATTAAAATAAGCTTGACATAAGCTTTTCATGTTAATTGTAAGTAAAATTGTATCTAAAACTACAAATTTTGTCTTGCAGTCAACGTCGTGGTGGCCATTTACAGCTACGAGCCCACTCACGACGGCGACCTCGGCTTCGACAAAGGAGACAAACTCAAGATCCTCAACAAGTAATCTGCTTTTAAACACACAGCAATGTCTTGCAACGAAACCAAGAACTAATCTGGTCCATTATCCACTCACCCCGTAAATAGTGCAGCATAAGCTATAAAACCTTAATAGCAGGACATTTAACTGATGATTGTAACATTGTTTTGTTTTTAACTATATATACACTCATTTTGACTTTATGTTTGAAAAAGTTGGGACTGACACACTTTCCACTGTGTATCGTGACTCTGTGTATGTTAGGAAAACGAGAAAATCAATCGTTGCAGTTTTGAAAGTGAAATCTCGTTTTTGTTTGTTGATTGGAACAGCTGGGTGATCTTGTTTTTGGAATGGCTGACACATCTGGACCACAAGAAGCCAAGCTGCTGTAATAATAATACAGAGTAGCAGTGTTTTGCTAAAATAAGCAAGAACGTCTGTCACCTGCATTGTTTACTACACCAAAGGATGGCTGTGGTGTTTTTAGATCACGGGTATCGATATTTCAGGTGCTCAGCCTCGCCCTAGCGTTAAATACGAAAGACTCAGATAAAGACTTAAATTAGAAAACATCTGCGTGACGATCGTGTTTAATTAACATTTCTAGCTTCATGTTCCACCAACTTTTTCCCGTATTACACAGTTTTTCCAGTCTCTAACGGCTCTGTCCCCACGTTTGCTTTTAATGTATTGTTGACGCCAAATTTAAATTGAGCATATTTTTTAATTTTATCATTTGCTATATTGTCTTTGTACGTTTGCAGTTAAATATTGGGATTAACTTATTTGCAAATGACTTAAATTCAGCTTTTACTCATACTTGCACACAGCTGCGGGTCTGCCGGACCGCCGAGCACCCACTGTAAATACACGGCATATGTTTTAGATATGTTTAGATAGTTATATTTTCAGATGGGAGATGTTGTGACTACATGATCTCACCCAACACTTCCTGTCGCTGTGTGCTGGTGAAAATTGAATAAATGCAAAAAAAAAATGCCCCCAAAAAATTCAGACGTGTGATTTCGCGGGTTTGAAAGAGGAAACACAAACGTTAACAACAAGAGAAAAACATATATATAACAGCAAAGGAAATAAAGCCATATGACATACTGCACTATATATATGTAGGTAAATATAAAAATGTGCAATAGAAACTCATTCGAATATGTGTATGTACGAAGAAAAGAAAATAATCTTTTGCTTGAAAGTGAAACTTAATATATCAAAATATAAAAAGCTAGTGTTCTGCATGCACACTTAATGTAGCGAGATTTACCAGTTTTTTAGTAAAAAATATGTTTGTGACATAGAAAACATAACTTCCTGGCACGACTGCTAGCTCATATTGTATTAAAACATGTGACAATTGTTAATGATTTTAGGCAGAACTCCAACGACATAACAAGATTCATTTATGTAGCTCAAGATCTTAAATCTTTAATTTTTAGGGCCGTTTACAATTAAGTCTGTGCTGAGCATCCTTCTTTCCCTTCAGCGTCTTTTACACAGAGCAACACATTTTTCTCCCTCCCAGCGATGCGCTTCATTTTATTCACGTAAAGACTATTGAGGCCTTTTTGGGGTTGAACTGAACCTGCTTTCTGAAGCTGCGTGACACACATCACGGCTATGATAACTAACTCAGACTCTTCTGACATGCAGGGATGATCCAGAATGGTATCTGGCAGAGTCTCTCACCACAGGCCAGCAGGGCTACATCCCCTACAACTTTGTCGCATTGTCCACCGTGGAGACCGAACCGTACGTCACACAGGAAGCACGCTGACACGCCTTTCAAAGCCACGTCATTCAACCTCAACACATTTTCATGTCATACAATGCATTATGTGTCCCTGAGGGAAGGGAAGTGGTTAGCTCAAAGTGTGAAGCATATGGTGTGTTTGCGCTGCAGGTGGTTCTTCAGGAACATTTCGAGAAACGAAGCCATGAGGCTGCTCCTCGCTCCTGGGAATACGCAGGGTTCCTTCCTGATTCGAGAGAGCGAGACCGCCAAAGGTAAAATGCTCTACAGAAAACCGACTGCGCAGATCAGCAGTCTGTTTTACTTCACATTGAGATGCACTTAAATGCTATATGTCACATTTTAAACCTTTAATAAATGGAACAAGTGAGATCATGAACAATATGACTGGTTTCCTCAGTAGCAGTCGGTTTGGTTATTACGTGCATTTCCCGTAATCCCACTACCTGTTTCCCAATTTGTCTCATCTGTTTCGTCTCAGTTTTGTCTTCCTGCTTCTTGCTCAAAATAAAAATATGACTTACACGCTGCATTAATTTCACTGGAAATGAAGCCACGACTGCTGAATGCTCACCCCCCTGAAGTGTGCCACGATTCATTATTTTAGCCACTGACACACACTTCTGTACGGCGGTCTACACTGTGCTTTTTTAACGTCGTCGAATTAATTATAATTGTTAAAGTACTCGACTGTGCCCACGTACAGCCTCACAGAACAACGCAGTACAGTGTGATTACCACAGATATTTAACTCTGACTCATAACACGCTGGAACACACGGTGACTCACATTTTGTGAGAAAACTGATGTTTCTATGCATTGTAGTAAAATGACTATAAAATATAAATTATTACAATCAATCAATCTTTATTTATCCCAGACTCATAGTAAATAAATCTCATGACACATAAAACAATAAAAATCCACCCAAATCATTTCCAACAAACAGACGACCCCACCAGCGTCTCTACAGTGTAGGCTGGTTACTGAGGGGTGTTCCCATATGTGCATTAAGCTTTACAAGAGGACCCCAGCCACGTAAACCAAAACCTGTCTGAGAATCATTGTCATGCTTTCTTCTTCAGCTTAATCGAGTGATGGTTGCATCATTTAGTTGCTTGTAAATCCTTTTTTCTCACACTTTTAAAGCGGTAAATTTTCAGAAATGTAACAGGATTCAAACTCTCACCTTCAGCTGAATATTATATTATATTATATTATATTTTATACATAAGCTGTGTATAAAAGATGGATGATTGCACAACTATGTTTTTCAGCTTGAAGTTCGGCATTATGGCCTTCACTATTGCGGAGCAATGAGTGATAATACTTGGACCAGATGGTTGAGCGCTAATATGAAAACCACAAGTCGTTACCCAATGAGCATCCTCTCGATAAACCCGCTCTCTGACACTTAGAATGATAAAACTTTACAAAATGGACTTACGGTAATGTTTTACTCAACAAATCGAAAATCTCACCAAAAACCAGCGACTAAACCCATAAAACCACCAGGAAACTGTTAACAGAGACTAGAGCTGGGGCTGCTTCTCACTGAGAAAACTGTAGTCTGCTTGCAAACACCACTATCACCCCATCATGTCCGCCATCTTTGATATAGT